GATATATATAATATATATATATATATAATAAATATTGTAATAATAATACATATTGTATTATATATTATATTGTATATATTTGTACATATTATATTATATATATATATATATATATATTATTAGTTAATTAAATCCTTCCCGCGCGTTCATACGCATAGCGTATAGCTACAGGCGCATAGGGCGGTGCCTATCTCCGTTTCTGTAACCCTGAGTCCCCGCAGCTGCTTTCACAGTAAATGCTACAGTAGGGGGTTAGTCTTAGGGTGTATTATATGTATGTATTATTAGCTTTTCATCGTGTAGTTTTCTATCTATACGTTATCGTGAGCTACTCGAGCGCGACTGTTCGCGATGCCTCGGATCAGTGTCCGATGTTTTTCACGCGTTTAATTGCAGCTGGATCCACCATCCATTAGGTGTACGCGCGTCGTCGTAAACGCAATGGCATTCTATCGCGCCGTATCGCTGGCGTCACAGGAGCCGAGCTGGGAGGGTAGAGCACTTGGAGTCGTTTACGTTACTTTACGTACGCGTATGTTGCTAGCGTGTTGTACACTCGCGGTCGCACGCCGCACGCCGCACAATGGGGAACGTGCCGACTAAACCGACAACGTCCGCGAGATGTTTACGAGGCAACGACGGTCACGTGTTGTCTTAGCAGACGACGCTGACGATAGTGTGCCCCAACGTCCGCTCCTTCACTCGAGAATGCGGTGTGTACTGCCGGAGATAGCTACGACTAGAGAAGACAGTGTGATTGAGTTAAGTTGAGAACATAGCTGTGTTCTTGATACTACCTCTAGTGTTTGTTTTCGCACCTGGCCTACTATTCCTAGGTGCATTAGTAAAAATGGGTGAATTTTGTGCGATGCATGTTTACAGAGCTGTAAATAGGGTTGATATTGAGAGCATCTATTTACGGTAGAAATTCGACGGTGCGCCAATAGCACTAGCAATATGTAGCATCGGTTATGTAGCGGAAGGCGCACCGGAACCGGAACCGCGTGGTACATTACAGTATTGCCCCAAAAATTGCATACGGAAGTAAAAAATTTCCTATGATTGAATACGAGTTTTAATAAGCAGCCGTTTCGATTTTCCTTTGGCATGGCGCGACCAACCGATTTCTGCTGCAGTCGAAATCGAATGCTCATTTGTTAAAATCGAACACGTTCGGTACAAGCTTGGCAATACAATTGCTTTATTTATGAAAGTTGTGGTCGCACGTGAGATCTACGGATTTCTATATCGACGTATTTCAGGCTGCTATGTCATTCATTATACAGTTGAGTGCCTGATCGCGGTCAGATATTTGATCAACTTTCTAAAATTCTGTATGTATATGTACATATGTATTTATGTATACATCCACTTGATTACATCAACAACTATAAACACTCGGAGAGCACAGACCTCCGCCAAGGCAGCTGAATTCTCTCACTGTGAAAATTTAATTGATTAATTAATAATTAAATAATTAATTGGATCGGATGACGACCAAAATGTAATCAATTTTAAGTTACCCTATTTCTGACTTATACTGGAAATTTAATTAATTAATTAATTAATTGGATCCGGATCACCACCAAAATGTAATGAATTCTAAGTTACCCCGTTTCTGACCTATCCTGAAAATGTTATTAATTAATTAATTAATTAATTAATAATTGGATCAGCAATCAACCACCAAAATCTCATCAATTCTAAGTTAGCCATTTCTGACCTACCTGAAAATTTTATGATAATCTGTTGCCATAAGTTTTTTAGTTAGGCTGTACACAAACCAACAAACACACGCCGATGAAACATAACTCTGCCAACCTGGCGGAGTAACAATTAGCTTATACTTATTCTTATGCCTCAACAATATACACTTGATTCAGAAATAGTCGCTACTTACAACAAGCTTGTTACCCATCTATCGGCCGAGAAGACTGAGAGTGGATATATTTACGGATAATCCGAAAATTTTGCGAAAAACGCCGTGCGCAAAAGGTCGAAAACTTACCGCCCAGACGTGGCATTCCACGTTAAAACGCTTATTCTTCAACGCGTTCGCACCAACGCTTGATAAATACAACGCAATGGCGATCACTCGCTCTTCGTCTCATCCTGGACATAGCGGAACACATGCTGCATGGAAGCAGGGAGCACTGGAAAAGCAGGGAAAACAAGGAAGCAGGGAGATCTCTTAGAGTATGTCGCTTCATCGCGTTCGCGTCCGGATCGCTGACGTCACTATCGTACGCGCACTCGCGTCTCTTCCGTGACGTCACCGTTCGGTTCCACGTCCTTTTCTAGCGTGAAATACGGATTATCCTTGTTATCCCCCGCCGCTGCGCCCGTCGCTGCCTGACACACTCGCTTGCTAGGCGACTGTCCCGTCGCTCACATACCTCACAGGACAATGTCGCTCGTCTGCCCGGATATGACATCAGGGTCCGCAGTGTTTTTCGTCGTCCCATGTACGTTAGGATCGTCATCAATAGCTTGCCGACAC